AGACCATAACGCAACAAGCATCACAAACAGACCAATAGATTCACCAAATTCGTTACACTTCAAGTAGCCAATCACGTCAGAAGATAACAAGTAGCCTTCGAATGCTATATAGACCCACGCAGGCAAGGGAGAAGTACCCACCCAACTGCACACTGATGATGTCTCCCCGTACGGTGACGAAACGTTTGCACTGCACTCCAAAAGCTCGGCGAACAGATTAACACTGACAATCACACCACTAGGAAAACCCCTTTTAATTGTCACTTAGTGGTGTGTGTCATGACATTGTTCATAGCCTAACTGGGACCTCTCGCTGGGCCACCAAAAACGGTGGGTTGTTGGCCTCAATCAGACTTTAAACATGATGCCATATCGATCATCAGGGAGATCACATCATACTAAGTTTTCGCATGTCACTTAAACATGCCTAGCCGGCGCCGCGACAGTATGAAATCAGCGTAGAACCGTTCACCTTTTGGGTTTCTAGTGGGTAAGTGAAAGCAGCAAACTTGAATTTGAAGGAGTGGATCAAGATCCGATAACCCTTCTGTAGGTTGGTTTGTTCTTCTCCGATAATTTGTATTCCTGACTTGGACTCGAAAAATATATGGTTGCATGCTCCAAACAAACCCTGCATACATCCCCTGGTTGGTTCAAATGTTGTTCAATCTCCCAAAATACCTTATCATGTGCTGACTAAGTGCTGTGTTGAACGTTCGATGCACTGATTCAAGGTGTTGCTATTTAGGCCTTACCTAACCTATCGCTTTGTCACAGACTTTACCTTCAAGTTGAGTCATTCTGGTGTTTCAATAAACGTGAAATTTGTGATGAAAGGTTGCGATTTGACGTATACCCCACGGTATATCTTGAGAGATATTTGCTATGAGCTCAGTAATATCGTGTATCCTCAGGAAGTCCTTGATGAACGGTTGAACGTAATCCATCATTGGATTTACTCGTGAACAAAGGCTTCAGACACTCGAATATCTCTTGTCGACTTGCCTTACGAATATCGAGTTTGGTGAAACGTGTGGACAAATAAGAAGACCAGACCGGGTTAGGTTCACATTCCTCGATGCTATTCGTTTGTAATTCTTGATCGGTTCCCAGGTTCAGTGCATCCCTATGTGAGTTGAACAGAACAAATTATATCCAGCACTGTTCTCGTCGCGAATTTGGACGGGTCTCATGCATCTGGCAGACGCAACTGGATGTCCAATGTTTGCCAACTGAAAAAAGCATTGAAAATGCTCAGTCGGTTGGAAAACGCTTGGAACCGATTAAGTAGTCATCGTTTTGGGAAAGGTTTGATGCCGATTGTCACCGAGCCTTTCTGAAAACATTGTGTGCGCTGGTCAGTCAACCAAAGTACCACTATTTTTGAACATGCCAGATTATAGTGCATTGCACTTGGTTTTGAATAGCGATCGTAGTCTAACAAGCTCTGTCCAGATCACACTTAACCGGCTTTGACACTTATGAAGTGCTTTCTTGTCCGTATAAGCTCAAAGTCACCACCGGTGACTTACTGTGCACTTCTATGTAATTGGTCTTTGAAGACTGTTAATGGCCGACACATCTGCACAAATTATTTAGGATAGAAACAAATCATGAAGCTTGGGGTCACCCTCAGTTTAAATCAAACTTCACACTGTGTACGAACCCGCTCAGTAGTTATCATCTTCCCAATTCGACCTGAAGTCCCTCAATGCCTATTAGGCTCTAATGGATCCTCGTTCCTTCGAATTGATTTTCACCTCTGGTGTGTCTTGCGTCGCTCTAGATGAAGTACACCGCTGTGCACAGCAGAAACGCTCACTAAAACGCTGTCAACCCAAATAGTTTGAACTGCCAAAGCTGAGGTTATTTGCCATTGATGGTTGTTCCAAAACTCTTGTGAGTATGGAGTTCAAATCGCCACTGTCATTCGTCCTTGACAAAGCGACATCGACGGTCAGTTCAGGCCTTCGTTAATGATTTAGTTGGCAATCAAATCTAACGCTGAACTTCTCAGCGGGATCCAATCACCAAACTGACAGAAAGCCTCATAAAATCAATGCTATTCTAATTGCTACCTGGTCGATTCTGACTCATTCAAAAAAGCAAAATGATATGCTTAGAAAACAATCGTTAAAATAGCCGTGGTGAGAATGAAAAT